TCTCAATACCTGCTGGCCCCAGTGGATACCCAATAAAGATGAAAATAACGAAGGAAGGATGCAAGTGGAAGAGAAAGGGAAGGGCTCCAGGGCTCACAATCCTTATCTGGAAAACGGGATAAGTGCCCCCCTGTCGATGTTAGTGCAAAAGTAAGACAACATATGCAAAGTACAGTGCCAGGGACATAGCAGACTCTTTATAAATATTTGTGGATGAAATTAAGCATGCAGGAGGGAGTGAATGGTGTTCACAGGAAGACTAAATTGGAGCGGAGGGAAACTAGGGGCAGAAAGGAGGAACACAACTTTTTAATGAGCCCCAATCATGTACCAGGCACTGTCTTAGGCCTCAGGTATACTCAATGGTGGAAAAACCCCAGACATATTGCTGAACTCATGAACTTACAATCTAGAGGGGAGACAGATCACCCTTAACCCCAGTGTGGGATGGAGGCAAAGCCATTCTAAGACTGTATTTATTTCCTACGGCCTTTAGGAGCAAGGCCAATTCCCTTAGCTTGGCATTTGTATCGTCAGGATAGGTAGGCTGTGCTGCAGTAACAAAAAGGCCCCCGAATTTCAGTGGCTTACAGAAGTTTCTTTGTCACTCAGGCAAATTTGCGAGTGGCCTGGACACCGCAGGTGTGATTTCACCTGTGTTGATCCTGTGTTTTAGGTTGCTCTGTTCCGCATCTCCATATACCATTGCCCATTTTTCTTCCGCTTGAGTGGTGAGGTTGAATCCCCATATCTACTTCCGAGCCCTCCCTGGGCCACCTCTGAGCCATTGCAAAAATACTCTTCCCTCTGTGGAAAAGACACTGCCACCCACTTCCACCCTTGTCCTGCTGCCAGGTGCTGAGGGAGCTGTGATTCTGATGCAACGGGCCAAACTGTGCTGTGGGGTTCAGAAAGAGAGTAGAGAAGCAAGGTGCTCACCAAGTTCCCCTCAGGCCCCACCCTCGACCTGAAAACTGGGAAGCATAATTCTTACTGCATCAGGTGGGAAGAAGGATGCCATGTTTTGCCTTTGGGAAGAGTAATAACTCCTCTCCCCCAAACAGCTGGATTCTTCACCTCTTCCTGGAGACAGTTCCAACCCAGGCAGCTATAGGCCAGACTGGTGAAGCAGAAAGAAGGGAGAAATTGGTCTTGAGGTTAGAAGCCCTCAGCCCCTGGCCACTACCTATCAGCAGAAAAGGAAGCCAGCCATGGAGTTCAACATAGAGAAGAAAGAAGAAATGAAATCAGCTCATCTCCCTAGTTCCCCCTAGGCCACTGCAATGCATCAGAGGATGAATCAGCTGGTTCTCTCCATTTCTTTTCCTCTTGGTGGTAGTGGTAGAAATGGGAGTGAGTAAGCCCTGTGGTACCCAGTGTGGTCACGGTTAAGGTCACAGCACACGGGCTGCAGTCCCCTCCCCTGTGTGGATGCGATCCACGTCCTCTAACACCTACCTTCTAACACCTAACACTCCCAACATTCCCCTCCTGGATTTGCCTCCCTCTTCCAAGTCCAAGTCTAAGCACAGTCAGGCTCAACCCCCATCCTGGCCTGGCCATGCCAGCCCCTAACCAGAGCATAAGACACATTTGTAACCACATCTTGCAATGTGATTCACTCTGTCTGTGGAAAGACTGATGCAATTGTGGGTGAGGAGTCATTTCTGCTGATGAGGAAACCGCAGCAACCCAGTGGGGGTGAGAGGGCACTCCATCAAGGCCATCGGGACCCACCCTGAGGAAGGGCACAACCCAGGGCCCTCGGGCTTCCTGGAGTAGCCCAGCCACACCATGCTGGGGCCAGAGAACAGAACCCAGTACACGGCTATCCACTTACAGAGGTGCAGCCGGGCTACTGGCCAGCAATTCCAGGGACAACCAGGATAATCCACCATTATCCCTGCACAGTACAGAGCAGCGTGTGTGACGTTCTTGGAGAAGGTCAGGTAACCATGAGCAGCAAAAGCCTTCTCTAGGTGCTGAGTTCAAAGACTGGAGCCACCTTGCTGCTCACTGACACTGCACTGAAAGCATCCTTGTCTGCCTCTAGAATAAGCTCCCGCGGCCAGAGCAGGTGCCCAGGAAAGACTCTGAACTGGATCTGAAATCCCAGGGGCCCAACAGCCTCCAGGCTGTGACCTGTCCCTTCGGGCACACCTGCCTTGGGGACCGGACCCACTGCCCATTTCCAAGGGCACAGATGCCACAGAGCCCCGATCAGCTTCCTGCTCGGTGAGCCCTGAGCTCGTCCTCCTGGCTATGAGGGATCAGGCCAGCGAACTCCCCTCTCGGGGCCACAGCAGCCCTCCCTCCTTGGAGCCCTGTGCCCGCTTCCAGGGCTGGACAAGGGATCATGTGGTGGCCTTGCACTAGGCTCTTTTCCTGTGTCTGTATCATGTCTCTGCCTCAGTGTAAGCCATTCCAGGCAGGGGCTGGTCTGGTCTAGAGATGTCAGCCCTGCCCAATAGCCACACTACAACTCACCAGATGTTGACACACCCCCCGCAGAGGAGGCATTATTACCCCATCCTGCCAAGGAAGAAACCAAGGTTCAGGAGGCGACACAACCCACACCTAGCAGAAGGCAGACTTGGAACTGGGACCCAAGCTCGCTTCAAACTCGCTGCCCAGCATTCGCTCCAGAACCCAGCCACTTCGCCCAGCTTCCTCCATGGGGTCCCTGATGAGGGCCAAAGAGATAAGGAGCCCTCCAGGAGGCGCCAAGCAGAGAGTAAATACAAGAGAGAAGAACGACTGACCTTCCAGAGCTGTGCGTCACAGATCCAGGGCCGCAGGAGCCACGTAAAACTTGTCTCAGGCCCCATCCTCACTGCCCCTCTGAGCACCATCAAGACAGAGGTTAGCCTTCCATGTGCAAGCCTGACCCCCAGTGACCATAACCTTGAACTGCATGGCCGACCAGGCGGACCCAAGAGGTCAAGGGGTTTAGTTAGCGCTTAGGGCAGAGCTCCAAACAGGGCCAACTTCTGACCGCACCACCCAGCCCTCTAGTCCAGGTGGCCCTGGAACCCCAGGAACAAGGCCTTAATAACGAAACCCTCACATGGCTAGCTCTCAGGGTGTGCTCATGAGTCACGAATCCCACAGCCACCTGGGAGGCAGTCTTAGCCCCTTTCTACAGATGAATAAACTGAGGCCAGAGCAATGAAAGAGACTCCCCAAGTCCAGTCAGGGAATCAGTGACAGATCCTACACCTGAACCTAGATTTTCTGATTTAAAAGGCCATCCCCCACCCCCTTATTTTCCTAAAATCTCCTCCCTTTGGGTCACAAAAGTCAGGAAAGTCATGGAGGAACATGGTCTCTAGGATGTCCTACTTAGATGGATTTATTTAAAATTTAAAAATTTATTTATCTAGAATAAATGTACTTAAATAAATTTACTTCAAAGAAAAGATCTACAAAATAACTTTCCACTTTCTCCCAATAGCCCGTTAATGATGGACAGTTGATCTGATAAACATCAGGTCTAGAGGGGACGGACAGATTTAGTAAACAAAAATACAGGATATGCAGTTACATTTGAATTTTAGATAAACAGGGAATTCACCACCTGGGACATACTTATACTGAAAAAGTATTTGTTGTTTATCTGAAATTTAAGTTTAACAGAGTGTCCTGTGTTTTATCTGGCAATTCTAGGCTAGGTGCCATTTGGGGATGGGAGAGAATGACAGCTAGTTTAGGGGGTTCCAGGAACAGCCGGGAGGCCTGTTAACTAGTTACAACGGGATGAAAGGGGGAGATGACCCCTGGCAGGATACCCAGGCAGGAAGATGGGAGGCACTGCGACCTTCGAGTCGGGGCTGGGGGTGGAGGGCGGAGTGACGTGGCACAGTGTTTCTTTTCTTAAAGATTATTCTGACAAGCAGGTGGAAAGTAAGCTGGAGCGGGAAATACTTGGCTAGGGAGGGCTGGCAGGGATGCAAGTGGGTGAGCATGGCAGCTCGCACGGGCACCTTGACAGAGCTGGTGAAGTGGTGAATTCTGATATGCCCTGAAGCTGGGGCGGCCTGGACTTCACCTTCAAACTCTGCTCCCCTTGAGTCTTGTGTCTTCTCACCTTAATTCTTCTCCATCCTGCCCCCTCCAACTCACCCCTGGGTGTCCCCTCCCAGTTCTGATCTCCCCTCTCTTTTCCTCCTCCCCCTGTGTCCTTTGCATCCCACTGTCATCTGATTGGTTGTCCCTGCTCCTCTTCGGCAGACAGGTCAACAAAGTGAAGAGGAAGGGAAGTCACTCTGTTTTTTCTTTCCCCACCTCAAGGCCTCCATGCCCCCAGAGGACCTAGCCAGTGGCCATTGCCTCACCCTTATGCACAGAACCAAGAACCAGGGCAGGAAAGGCCTCCTGCCAGCCCTCCCCTGGAAGCAGGAGGTCCAGGCCCCACAGGAGGCTGTTGCTCACCCCTCCTGCCTCAGGTAGGACTAAGGTACAGCCATGCAGCACCCTGGGTCCTCCGGACACAGTACCTCCCAACCCGCTGCTGGGAAATGCTGCCTGATATCCACCCCCAGTTACCCTGCTACATTTTATACTAATTTCCCCTGAGCTGAATCTCAGGAGGAGATGGAAACAGCTGATCTTCCCGCTCTAGGTTAATGGTTTTCAAATGTTATTCCCAAATTAAACCACTGTTGCCGGGAGGGCGGGGGAAGGAGGGACCCTGGGACAACTGTCCCCCACTTTAACCACACGAGTTCCACTTATCTATGTTTTATAAACAGGGACTCCTTGTAAAATTCTTTTTTTTTTTAAAGGGCTCCACTGGTGAAAATATTTCCCTGTATCCATTTGAAACCCATGGATGGGTCTGCGTGATGATGCTTTGTATAAAGACTTCCTGAGTCCAGCTTTCCCAATGCCATATCATCTGACCCTTGCTCCCAGAGCTTTAATTTCCCTCCTGTCATTCCCTCCGAGACTTTAAATCCTGGCACAGACTGACCCTCTCTCTAAAGGTCTCTTCACCAGAATCCCCACAGCAGTTCCCTAACTCCACATGGGCGTGGGTTACATGGCCCATTTCACAGATGAGGTCACTGAGGCCCAGAGGCAGCAAGATCTTAGCTGGATACTGGAGTCTGACTTTGGGTGCTGGTCCTAAGTGGGCTCCCACTGTGTCCGCAACCCAAGTTGTCTGCCAGGATCCCCATCCGGGACATGAGAGCTCCAAGTTTTGAGGTGGCCCAATTCCTGCTGGAAGAGTTTGCCTCAAAACTGGGAGCTCCCTGGGGGCCATGCTCTGATCAGAGTGGCCCAGACTGCCCTGTGGGGAGAAGAATGAGGTTTCTGGGGTCTTAGCCCTGGAGACCAATCCCTGGGTGGCCTCCTCTCTGTAAGCTCCCAGGGGCCCACCGCCTGTCATCTGTCACATGGCAGAAGAGAAGTGTCTGCTCAGCTACTGTGAGAGGGATATTCAGTCAACACTGTCACTCACCCACACTCATGCTAAGAGGAGAATCTAAGCCCTGCAGTCTACTGAGATCCCATGCAGCTGTCTTGTGTTCCCACCATCAGGGATCCTAGAAACTTCCTGTCCAGGGGCCTTCACCCTTCGCTGGGCATCAGCACAAAGAACACTCAGATGGCACCCACAGAGGTTCAGTTGACCTGGAGTGAGGCCTGGGCTCCTGGATGGTTTGAACGGTGATTTTCCAGATATCCAGGGCTGACAGCCACCACCTGGTCCAACCTCCCCCTTTCACAGGGGAGGAAACTGAGGCCCAGAAGAAGGAGCTGGTGGCACATTAGGACTAGGACCCAGGACCACTGGTCTGGAGCCAGGGGTCTTTGTACCCCCAAACCAGTGTGCCCCACAATAGTCAGCCAGAGGTTGTAGAAGGTGCAAAGCGGGGGGTGGGAAACGTTCACCATGGTTTGTGCCATGGGAAGGAAATTTTGGCCTTCTCTCCTGGCTTTGAGCTCAGCCTTCCTTCTGGATTCTTCTCTGTGAGTCAGACAGCGGGAAGGTGACCCTGCAGGCAAACACAGCTGCTTCAGCCTCAGCTTGCAGTTTTGAGCACCGACTGTATGCAGACGCTCTTGATAACTGCTTCCCTGGCATTATCTCGGCTAGAAGATTTATTGTTTCCGGCCAGAACTGCTCCACTTCCCCCAAAAAAGAATGCAAACTGGTGTCCATCAACGGATGAATAGATCAAGTGTGGTTTATATACAATGGGATATTATATTCATCCATAAAAAGGACATCCTGCCATTTGCAACAACACAGATGGACCTTAAGGGCATTATCCTAAGTAAGGTAAGTCAGACAGAGCAAGATAAATACGGTATGATCTCGCTTATAGGTGGAATCTAAAAACATCAAACCATCAAACTCATAGAAACAGAGAGCAGATTGAGGGTTACCAGGAGCTGGTAGAGGAGGGGGTAAATGGAGAGAGTTTGTCGAGGAGTACAAACTTTCAGTTATAAAATGAGTAAGCCCTGGGGATCTAATGTACTTCATGGTGATGATAGCTAACAGTACCGTATTACACTGAAAGTTGCCAAGAGATCTTATATGTTCTCACCATAACAACAACTAAATGGTAACTATGTGAAGTGAAGAATGTGTGTGTGTGTGTATGTGTGTGTATCAAATCATCTCATTGCACACTTTAAACTTCACAATGTTATATGTCAATTATATCTCAGTAAAGCTGGAAAGGAGGATGCAAGCTGGTCTTCACCCTAATTTAGTAGCCATGTCCTGCTTAACAAAATCCAAAACGTCTTGCTTAGAATTTCTGTCTGACAGCCAAAGAGCTTCCACCCTTGTTCACAGCAGGCAACTCCTGCTCTGATTCCACACCTGGACAGAGCGTGGGAAGACGCGGAGCACCGAGCCGAGAGTCAGGACACCTAAGTTCTAGTCCCAGCTCTGCCATCAAGTACCTATGGGGTCAGTCATTTCCCTTCTCTGAACTTCAGTTTCATCATCTATTAAATTGGAGGGTTGAACTCCACCAGGAATAGTCAAATTTGTTTTGTGCAGGACAACACTTTCTTCCCATAAAACTGCATGCGGAACACACCGGTGACCGTGGGCTTGGGAGAAGCGGCAGCCAGGCTCTCAGAGCTGGGCACACACAGCCCTTCCACCCCACTCGCTCCCCGAGGAAGCTCCCTAGGACTCCCCACAGCTTCATTCTTTATGTCACTAAGGTCCCCTTTGGTTCTGTCACCCTAGGACTTGATGGGGAGTGTGGGGGGAGAGATAAGTATGGTGGTGGTTAGGTAAGAGATGCCTTAGAAAGCGACAAAATATCTGGGCAGCAGAGTCCAGCGTCCTACTTCCCAGAACCATGGAGGAAAGGAATCTCTTATCCATTTGGCCTGACTAGTGGCTAAGGAGGCAGCATGGAAAGTAGGCCTTCGTGCAGGCCAGTGGCACCAGGTAAGGGGTGCGGGTATCAGGGGCAGGTGAGACACATTCAAAAGATTTCCCCTTCTCTGCAGTGTGTGGGCCCGGGCACCCCTGGCCTGTTTCCCAGTCTGTGACCTGGGCACATCAGGGCTGTCGGAGGGTTACAGAAACCCTGCTGAGGGTGCAGAGCAGGGCCGGTACATCTCTAGCAGCTACCACTTGTTGGCTGTGGTTTTCCCTGTTGTTATTTTGTTCCCTTGTGGTTTAGTATGCGCCTTTGATTGTGTGGGGGCAGGGAGAGTCATCTAATTCTTAGAGCTGTGGAAACCTCATCGTAGAGATAAAGAAAGAAAGTGAGGCCCCGAGAAAAAAAAGGCCTTGCCCAGGTTCACGCGGTGAGTCAGAACCAAGCTGAGGCTAGGACCAAGGACTCCAGACTCGGGGAGCTGTCCCCCGGGCGGAGCTCACAGCTGCCGGTTCCCGCTGCTCAGCACAGCGCTGGCCTTTGCGAACTCGCCCGCCCACAGGTCCTCCACCCACCCACTGGTGGTGAAACCACTGACCCGTGGGCGGCCTCGGGCTCCTGCAGCCCAATTTGGCCTCCTCCTCAGAGCACACCCTCCCTTCCCTGCCAGGCCAGAGCTGTAATTATTGCACTAACTGGCCCCTGGGGAAGGAGGGGGCCTGGTCTTCATCCACATGAGTCAGGTTTCCAGAGCAAAAACCTCAGGCAGAGCCACATTGCACTGTCTCAGCCTCGTCACCACTTCCCACAAACCACTTCCTGCCCTGTTCCTGGCACCGCTGGCCTGAGGCTCGTGGCAGCTGCCGGGCCCTGGTCTCTGCTGCTCCGCCAGCCCCAGCCCACCCCCAGCCCACTGCAAACCCACCTCCCACCCTCAGGCAGAGGTGGGAATCTGCCCGTCCCAGGGGAGGGGCCGTGGGCTGGGTCACCGAGGCAGTGGAAATGCCACCAGGGAAATCCAGCCCTGGCCTTTCATCAGTCCTCAGTCACTGTCTGTAATTTGATTGTCCAAGTGTCATCCACATCTGCCCACAGCAGATGGAAGATGGAGAGGCCAGGCTGGCAGCCCCCTGCCCATCCACCCAGAGGTAGGCCCAGCTACGCCCATCTGTCCACAGGAGACTGCAGGAAGAATGGAAAGAGCACAAGCTTTGCAGTCAGATCTGAGTTTGAACTCCAGCTTCATCACTGCCTTGCTCTGACTTCATCAGGTGGCTTTACCTTTCTTAGCCTAAGTTTTTCCACCTGTAAAATGGAGAGCATATGTCACCTCTTCCAGATGCATTTAGAGGAATAACTGAGCTAATACACATGGAAGCCTACACAATGCCCGATACATAGTAGATGCTCAATAAATATCCGTGTTCTTCTTCCTCCACACAGTGATGACAGTGGTTCTGATGTGACGACAGGCAGCACAGTGACAGAAAGAGCCCTTCAGTGGGAGTTAAGAGACTGAATTCAATCCCAGTGCTGCCTCCAACTTGCTGTGTGGCTTTAGATGAGCTGGATAACCTCTCTGGTCCTCAGTTTCCTCATGCATAAATGTGGAGATGGTTTCAGATGGTGTCCAAGATCTCCCCCAGCTCTGACACTCTAGGACAGGGGCCTGGTGCTGACAGTACAGTGACACTGGGACATTGACTGAGACAGTGAGTGGGACGTGGTTATCAACATCATCAAGGCAATAGTGCAGCTTATATGTCACGGTGACACAGCCCAGGGGAGGCAAGTGCCTTCAAATGGTATAGGAGGCAAACTCAGGGACACAAGCACTGAGTGGGAACATCAGGACAGTTGAGCTCAAGCACATCCCTCAACCTGCGCAGCCTTATCTGATACACTCTGGAGTCAGGCCCAGTGGGTACTGAGAGTCCTGAGAAAAATTAATGCCAGTCTCCGCCTTTAGGGAGCTCTGCTGGGGAGGCACAGACTTTACAATCTGTCCCTCGATCTGTAACAATGTTACCAACAGTAACAAGCCATCATGAAGTTTACTCACTGCTCACACAAGGTTGCAAGGTCTGCCTGTGTTAAGCCCTTAAGGAGCATTATCTCATTTAATCCCCTGACAACCCCAATGAGGTCATTACTGCCATTATTTCTATTCTGCAGTTGAGGGATTGAAATGTAGAGATTACATTGTTCCTGGCTCTGGGTAAGCCACAGAATGAGGGTTAGCATGACAGCTCCCAGTAGGGGCCCCCCCATTAGAGCAGAGCTGTGAACAAGGCACTAAGGGGGTGCAGAGAGGACCCTCTTTCTGCCACCAAAGGTGGGATCTTTGAATCAGGTGACAACAATACTAGCTCCCATGTATGGAGTACTTGTGAATGTCACCTACTTCTCAGTCTTTAGGTGAGATCCTTATTTAGTCCTCACTTCCCACCCAGGTCATTATTCTTGTCTCATGAAGGCACAGAATGCTCAAGGCCTTACTCCAAGCAGGGAGAAGGGAGGCCAGGCAGACAAAGCAGCTTAGCCTAGCAAGCTCAGGACAGAAGGGCGGCTGGAGAGGCTGGAGCCTTCGGTTCTGAGAATAGAGGCGAAACAGGTAGGCAGGGTCCGACCCTAATACCCAAACACACACACACACACACCCTGGGAAGAAGGGCCCAGGTCCTCACCTCACACCAGCACTTGGTATTTGAGCGTTGGGGCTCCCCTGTCCCGCAGTTCCCAAGGAGGTGGCTATTAGTCATCCTGTGTGTGACTGATACACTTGGACTCCACGTAAGCAAACAGATAATGGGCCCCTAATCCCCACGCACCCAGAAGGCTGGGGAGAGGCTGGGGTGACAGGCCTGGAATCTGTGCCCTCAGGGAGAGACAGGAAACCTCATTCCACGGTTCTTCCCAAACCAGTAGAGCAAAATGCCAGTGTGATTCATTTTTTTTTTTTTTGGAAGACACAGAATAAATAAGAAAAGAGATTAGGTCTTAGTTTCCCCCAGCTAAAGACAGTTGGAAAAAACAGGGCTGAAAATGCTGAAACCCAGAGTTGGCAAACAGAAAATTAGTGGCAGGTTAATTTCATTGTCTCATTGGGGCGTGGAATCCCGTACAGTAAGTATAGGATTAAAGGGAGATTAATTTCTCATCTCACCAGGCTGGAGTAGGTCACCTGCAGGGGATTCATAGGCGCTCCATGCCTTTAGGGAGCAGGGAGGCCAGTTTCAGTGGAGAAGGAGTGAAGCTTGTCCTGGGGTTAATGTGGTGGGGCAAGATAGGCTGTGGGTTCCCAGGCCCCTGATAGCCAGGAGGGAAGCACTGAGCTTTCAGCAAGCTGGAGCCACAGCAACCTTGGCCCCTCTATGTAGCTTTTCAATCCTGCAAAGGTATGTTCGTTTTTGTTCCATCCTATTCGCAAGCCTTTTCTGTACCCATTCTGTCCTTCCTTCCTTATAACAATTACTCTTCATATAGTGTTGCTAAGTGCCAGCACTTTCCTTAGAATCATTCAGTTAATCCTTGCAACAAGTCTATGAGGAATTCCTAATAGTATCTCCACCTTACGGATGAGAAAACTGGGGAATAAAGAGGTAAGGGAGAGAGCTGGTAAGCAGCAGAACCAGGATTGAACCCCAGGCTGTCTGGAACCCAAGTCTGTGCCCTTCCCTTCTGCCTCTCCACACTCAGGACTTGCTTACATGGAGCGTGTCTGTACTACGTGGAGTTGTCTAGGCTATTCCCGGCCCCTGCTGCCGTGATCTGTCTGGGAATGATCCCCACCCTACCCACATCCCTCACTCACACATGCACCATGAGGCTCTGCCCAGACTGGAAGCATCTCGGGCAAGCTTTGAAATCGTCCCTGGGCTCAATGCAGTGGCCCTGGGCTGCGGCAGCTACAGGTGAGGAGTGAGCCAGCTCCAGCAGAAGGCCCACCCACCACACAGTCAGCGCTGGCCAGGGATGGATGGTGCTATGGGGAGGGTGGGGTAGAACGGTCCAGGGCCAGCCAAACCTCAAACGGCCGGCTGCTCCAGCTGCCTCCAAGGCCCGTGGTTAGGACACAGACTCAGGGAAGGCTAGCTTAAGAGAAGGAAAGGTTATGGCTTGCCAACTCACTGCAGCCCAAACCACAGTGTGGCGGAAGGCAGGAAAGGCTCAATAAGCCTCCCAGCGGGGAGCAGGGATGTGTGAGTGGGTTCTGGAAGGACCAGTTATCTAGTCCTCTCTCCAGGATGGCAAATAGCCTAAAACTTCAAGGTCAATGCCAATCAGTTTGTAGTGGCTGCCTACAGAATTCAACCGTGATGCCAAGTCCCTTCCTGGCTCAGCAAAGAAGACATCTGTGATCGTTTAGTAATGTCTGTGAGGGAATACGCATCAGAAAAAGGCAGCATGATTGCAGCTGTGTAGCCACCCTGGTTAACTCCATACTATATAGCATTTAGTACCCTCCCCGATAGGGCCACAGCTTCATCTCCCACGCCTCTCCCGTCCTTTTCACCTCCAATTCTTTAAGGCCCAGTCACTCCCAAGGGGTCAAGGTTCTCTGACCACATCCTTGAAGATAATATATTATCACATGCTTCAGGCAGCCTTTGTGTATCGTGTTCCCACCGCCTCCAAAGACCTCCATCCTTGTCTGCCTGATGAACTCATTTTCATCCTTCAAAATTCTGTCCTGGCCTCACGGCCCCTGATCCTACCCTGACAGAGTTAATCTTTTTGTACATTATAATCAACACAGCTCATGCAGCTGCATGATTCCCAGGCCCGGCCTGGGGCCAAATTCATTACATGCATCATCCTCATAACTCTTTAGAACGCTCTGCATTATGTTCTAAAATGATCCCGTTTTACAGGTAAGGACCTGACACTGAGCGATGTTAGGAACTTACCCCGAGTCCCTCAGCTGGGCTGTGATGAAACTGCCATCTGAACCTGCCTTGTCTAATTCCAGAGCCCAGAGTTTAGTCATTGTGCTATGATCTCTCACTATACCACACCAAGGTGTCATTTCTTATTTACACGTCCATCTCCCTTTCTAAACAATCATGTCTTAGATGCAGAAACCATCTCTCTCTCATAGCTTCGGCAGCTAGCCTGGGGCCCGGCACACAGGAGGCACTTGATGTGTGTTGGTTCAACTGGGTGTGATGGAGGGGTGCAGAGCTTGCTTGTCCTGTTCCCTTGCCTCCCATCTGTCCCGATCTTCCTCCCGGGAGTGCTGCCAGCCCTGCCTGTCTGATCTGGGCAGTGGGTGTTTGCAAGTGCCTAATGGGGCTATCTTGGGCTGGGCAGGGGCATCCATTTTTTCTATGTGGGTGTTTTATCTCCCCAGAGAGATATTACACTCACAGTGAGAGGGACAAAGTATGCATCTTCTCTTTTCTTTTACTTTATTTTCTTCCTTGCTTTTGCTTCTTACTTATTGAATGCTTCCATTGTATTAGGCATGGGCTAGGTCCAGAGGAAACACGTCCCCCTCTGAATGCACTGTTATCAAAGTGGGCTCTGAGGACAGTCCAGTGGTTTAAAACACATATTCTCTGACTCCCCCTAATCCTCCAGGCTCTGGTTCTGCAGGATCTGGTCAAGCTCTGGACTGTCTGGCTTCAACAAGACCTTTCTGATGCAAAGCCAACAGCCACCATGCTGTAGAAATTCTCAGGTTGGCATCTCAGCCATCAGCTAGCTCAGGGACTAACTGAAGGTCTGGTGGTATGGAGAAGGAGCTGCCCTGGGTGTTCTGGGCCTCACACTGACCACAGGTGGATGGGGAAGCCAAGCAGAGCCTCCAGGCCGGGCAAGGGGATGTGAGCACAGACATGCTATGGTCTGAAATGCAGCCTCAAAATCTGCCCAGAGAACCCTGACCTGACCTCAGAGGAGTCAGCACCATGAGCCCCTGGTGTGGTCTTGTCCCCAGGAGCTCCCAGTGGTGGCTGCTTTTGCCCACCCAGAGTTTTGTTGACTCAACACTTGGCTTTTCTATGCTTCTTACTGAGAGACGATGCTAATGGGTCTTCCAATGAGCAAGCAGAGCCGGCACTACTAGCCATGCCCAGAACTTGACGGAGCGGTAGAAATAACTCAGGCTTTGGAACTAGATAGACGGGGGTTCCCCTCCAGGATCTTGCCACTAGCTGTGTGCCTCCCAGGGCCTCGCTTCCCTCACAGGTAAGATGGAAGTGACTGCACCTGTGCCTCACAAGGCTGTGGAGAGAAATCAACAATAATGCAACTCTAGAGGGCCTGGGACCGCTCCTTTCCTGCCCCTCCACGCCTACATTCCACCTCTTGTCCTGTGACTTTCCCAATGCTGCCATTCACCTTCCTGAATGGCCTCTTCCTTGATTAGGCCAACCTGCCACTGCCAGGCCCTGGTTAGAGCAGAGGTTTCTTGTCTACACTGCTGGATGGCTCCTACTAATTTCCTCAAGCCTGGAATGTGTCTTTTCAAAGTTGTGGGAAGCACAGGAGATGATTCCCCAAGAGGTCCTGAGCTGCTTAGGCAGGCACTGGGCTCCCCTCTGCCGCCTGGTCCCATGCCCAGGGACAGCCCTCCCGACAGGCCTCAGGAGAAGGGTGTCCTCTTTGTAAGGGAAGCACAGAGCCTTCATGCCAGGGAGCTCGCCACAGCAACTGGCCCCTGGGATGTGGAGGCACCTTCCACTGCTGACTCCTGCACATCTGAGATCCCGTCGCTCCATCAGCATGGCAGGCTGGCCCCTTCCTTCCACAGGGGCATAGCAGACAATACAGCACCTGCCGCTCTGGAAAGGAATTGCAGAGGGGAGCTAACAGGTTATGAGTGCCCCCCGCAGGCCAGGCACCGGGCTAACGCTATTTAAGACATCACTGTCTCAGTAATCCTCGAGCAGGTCCTAAGAGAGACATGCTGACACTAGCCTCATTGTACAAACGAGGACACTGAGGCATAGAGAACGTAAGTTACTTTAACCTGGCATGTGATAAGTTAGCAAACATCCAAGACCCCAAATCCTCAGGTTTGATTCCAAAACCCTAACTCCTTCTTCCCCCGAAGCACAAACCAAGGGACGCACTTCTTAGGGGCTAGAATCTCATTTCCAGCTTCTCCCTAGGTAACCTCCATCCCACCCACCCCTGAGTAGGTGCACACCCAGATCCAGCTGAGGAAAGTGGTCTGAGTCCCCAAGCTAGAAGGCCAGGAGTCAGTGTGTTTCAAATGTGGCCCTGTCACCCAGAGGCTGTCAGCAGCCGCCGCTCCTGTAAGAAGCCACATAACAGTACTCACAGCCTAGGCCTTAGTGGCACATGGACTCAGATTTGAATTCCAGGTCTGCCACTCTCTAGCTGTGTGACTTTAGGTAAGTTACTTTACCTCTCTGAACATCAGTCCTTACCCTCCCCCGTGGAATTGAGAAAAGAATCCTTAGTTCACAAGGTTGTTGTGCAAATTAAATGAAATAAATATATGAAGTGTGTGTGTGGGGGGGGCACCCAGTGCTCAATCAATGGTGGTTATTCACATGAATTCCCCATCAGGCAACACCCCCAAACAGAATGAGTCATTCGCTCAGCAGCTCCCTCGTTTCCTTCCAGCACCCTATCTCTCACCAGGAAGAGAGAGAACTGAATATCTCTGGGCAGGAGAGAGGAAATAACGAGGTAGGCCCCGGCTGCCTCTGCACATGAGTTTAAATTTTCATGAAATGAGAAAATTCACTCTCCCACTTCCAAGCTCCTGGGGTTAATGAGCCCAGCCAGGATGAAAATGTTAGCTGCTACTGTCGGGTGGGCACGTGGGTGGGAAAAGCAGGTGGTCCCTGGTGCCCTCCAGTCCCAGGCCTGCAGGAGGAGAAACTGGTTTTTCTTCCTCGCTGAGGCCAAGGGGTGAGAGGTGAAAATATCTTGGATTTTCTTACAGTGGGGCTCACACCCAAATGCACTTCTAGGCTCCAGGAACCTCCAGGATTTGAAAAGCCAAAGGAGCAGTGCTACCAGGAGATGGGGCAGCACCAACCCCCATCTCAAGGCAGAGGGCCCAAGAGCGTGCCTACAAATGCTTGGAGATTCCCCAGCCGTCAGAGGCACCAGCAACCTGCTTTAAACTCCCTTGTGACCATTCTCTAGGCCAAATGTCTTAACAACATGCATTAGAGAGTCTTGAATCTCACAGACCCTGCCTATGCAGACATGGCTTCTGAGATCAAACAGCCCTTTACAGATGGAGACTTGCCTTGTTTGGGGGCAGCAGACAAATATATAGACACACAATGGCTGCAGCAGCCAAGGACAGCCAGGTGCTCCAGGGCAGGCCCTCTTGGCCAAGCCCCGCCCCCTCACCTGGGCAGGCCCATCAGAGCCATTATGGTAATTAGGAGGGCCTACAGGTGTGGGTGTGGGCAGGGGGAGGAGAAGGAGCGGAGTACCTGCTGGTACTTCTAGAGCTCTAGGTTTCCACCTACAAACAGCCCAGCTGTTTCTAATGGGGTGATTGGGCCTGGCTCTGGAGCCAGACTGCTTTCGGATCCCAGCTCTGCCACTGGCTGTGTGACCTTGAGCAAATCATTTCACCTCTCTGAGCCTCAGTTTCCTTTTCAGGACAATAAAAATACCTCACTAGTTGTCCAATGGATTAAATCATACTGTATGTGCCTGAGATACTGTTTGAGATCAATATCTGGAATCTATTATTATTTATGATAACCCTTCTGATCAAGAGCAAGGGGTCGCACCATCTCTCCACTTCCTCCCCCAGTATCCATAGCTGCTGTCGGTGTACCCTCCAGGGGATTCCTCCCTCGTCCCAGCGGCCATGTCCTAAAGATCCACTTCACCTGGATGCCGCCCACATCCTACATGATCCATCGGCCTCCCATCACCTTCAGAAAGCACATTAAATGTTGTAGACCAAGCCTGATGTGCAGGAGGAAAGTCTGGGGTATCTGTGCAGAGACCAAGGGTGGGTGAGGGGCTTTGTGAGAAGTTACAGCTAAACCGAAGGGACTTGGGTGGTCGGGGAAGAGGGGGCTTTAGACTAGTAGTCAAGACATGCAGGTTCCAGCCCCAGCTCGGCCATCGACCCACTGTGTGACCTTGGGCAAACTCCTGTCCACTCTGGGCCTTGTTCTCCTTTGTATGAAACGAGGGACTGGACCAGAGCTGTGGGTCTCAAGCTACACTGTTTGGGGCCAACTTCATGCCCGTCCGTGGGCCAGGTGGGCAAAGCCGAGATGCTTCAACTTTTCTGTTTTATAGATGGGGATCTAAGGGTATTTTCGCTTGACAAAACCCAGCTTTTGCAAACCACTCAACCAACCATCCTGGGCACCTGCCTACACCTTGGACCAAGTAAGAAGGAGGTTGTCAATGAAGTCGCTGAATGAATGAAGGGAAAGAGATGAGAAGAGTGAGCCCTGAGAGAAGGGCAGGACAAAGGAAAAAGAAGAAATACTGGTGAACAGAGAGCAAAGAGAATTAAAGGAGGGGATATGGACTTCCAGGGCCCCCAGGCACGGTACGCCCATAAACCTCATGAAGGGCGGGCTAACCTGGAGGCCTTGCTCTGCAGCCCCACCATCTTCTGCTCTGACTATTTGATGGCCCTGCAGGAGGAAGAGTGCTTCCTGGGTCTGGAGCAGGGAGCGCTGGAGGCAGAGGCAGCAATGAGCCCCTCTGGGTCCCCGTGCAGGAGCCATGCCTGCACTGGAATCCAGCTGGGCCCTCTGTCCTTGACACCACCACATCCATCCAAGGGCTGCTTGTTTATTCCAATGGAAGCCCACAACATGGGAGCCATGGGGCTCACGATGTTAATAGCCAGAGCTAGACGCCAGGCTGTGTTCCGACAGTGGGCTGGCCTGGCCTCCATCCTACCCGTGCACGTGCCAGACCCTTAGCTTACCACCAAATCCACCCAGCACTGTTCTCTGGGCAGAAGAACCTTCTGTAAAGTTCTCAGTGCTCCACAGAGACAGGTGCTGGTATGTGCCACCTCCACCATCTGGGACATAAGCAGACCCATTTTACAGATGAGGAAAATAAGGTCCAGAGAGAGCAACTTGCCAAAGTCCACATAGCTATGTGACAAAGAAGCAGCGCTTGAGCCCTAGCCTTCTGATTCCAAAACCAATGCTCTTTCCAACAATCAGTCAGGTCATATCAGCCTTTTTGTAACTCATTCACATCACAGGGTAAAACAGGAACAAACCAGAATAAGGAACAAGTTGGGAGGCTTGCAACATCAATTCTCAGTGTCAAGCCCAAGGAGAGAAGAGGCAGTTTACTTGTCACCACTTTCTATCTTTCAGGGTTGGCCACTTACACCCTCAGTTTACAGGTGAGGAAACTGAGGCTCAAGGAGGCTAATAGCTTGCCCCAAGTTTCACGGCAGCAGTCCTGTCAGAGTCCAGAAGATGTGCTCACTCCACTCCTCACATGGTCTTCCAGGGCCTCACGGAGCGTGCCCTCGGCCAAGGAGACACCAGAGGAATGGATCGGGAACTGGTGGAGTTGAGAATAATGTCGCTTCCTGCAGGGAGGCTTCCTGGTTTGCCCAGCCCGGGTCAGGCCTTAGGGATACACTGTCCTTGCACTGTGTGCTTTTCTTTCATGACATGAAATACAGGCCTCATTAAATGTTGGTGGGATTATTCATTTGAAGTCTCTCCCTTTTCAAGAGGGGAATGGGGACCGGGTCTGCTTGGTCCAGAACAGAGCCTGGCACGTGGAGATGCCCATAAACCTTTGCTCAATGAATGAGTGCACAGGTGGACAGACAAACGGCTGTGGAACCAGGCAGTGAAATGGGAGGGCAGAGAGAATAGAGAGAGGGGTACCAATGCAGAAGCCTGAGGGAGAGTGTAAAAGAGAAAGTTTCCACGTGTGTATGTGCGGGTGGGGAGGCAGGAAAGCAGTCACCAACACCTATAGCAGAGCTTACTGGAGAGTGACGAGCCCAGGACCACTGGGAAGAACAATCAGGAAACAGGAGGCACTTTCCACCGTTTCCAACTCATGGCAGCCTTGCTCATGGCCTTGACCCCTGCACCTTAGTGGTTTCTGTTGTAAGCTGAGGGGGTCGGGTTGACCTTGATGACCTTTGAGGACCCTTCTATTTCTGAAACCCCTTGACTTGGCCTAGCCAGCAGCTTTCAGGCCAAAAGCCCCAGCCCTGGAGCCTTGAACTCCTGGCAGAGCTGTCCCTCAAGAGCCCAACATGGCTGTAGAAACCTGCACAATTTCCCCTAAATTACCCCAAACCCACGTGGGGCCGCTGGGCCCAGCTGTGTCTTAAGCACAGTCACAAGGCCTGAGTTTGCTGAGACTCAGCTCTGCGACTTCGGGCAAGTCACTGTGCGCCTCAAGCTCCCATCTGGGACCTCCCACCCCCCACCCGACACACACCCCAAAGTTACTGTGAGCTCAGATAGGATCAGGTTTGTACCAGAACTTAGTGTCAGTGAAGTTCCACCTGCAAAGAGAAGACATTAAGAGGGAAACTTTCTCTCTGAGCTGTCCTCCCCTCCTGGGCCTCCTCCTGCTCCCGTGAATGCCCTGTGTCCTGAGGCTCCTCCTTGTCAATAATCCCAGTGTCAGTGACAGGAGTTTAGATGTTACTTCTTTCCCTGGGGTGGAGGGTAGAATCCTCCGAAAGCCATCTATGGGCTCTTTCATGGGGGACTTTCCTGCCAGCAAGGAGGGAGCTGTCGGGACAAGGAGCCGCCCTCTGGGCCTGCTCCTGAGTGGGACCCTGGGCCCCATTGTCCAGCATGACCTATGGAAGCGCCTCCCCAGACACACGCGGGCTCCTGAGCCTTGGTGGGGCCCGCCCTGAGTGGTAGGAGGGGCAGAGCTAAGGCGCCGGAATGTCCCTCAGGGCACCTCTCACCCGCCCCTCACTACAGACAGGGCCTCAGGTGGGGCCATAAGCTGCCCAGTGTCACCTGGCAAGTCAGTCCTAGGCCCCAAATCTTAACTGCACATGCTGCCTTCCTGAGGCGCTCACAGGCTGCTCCCCAGGTCACCCAGCGTTGTGTGGTGTGCCTGGGCAGAGGTAAGTAGCAGCTGGGTTCATCGCCTGCGGTGTGGGGGCATCTGCGGGGTGGGGGATGCAGATCTTGACCAGGTACTGCCCACGCTGGGGGCCTCCACGAAGAGGGCTCAGATTTGGGGGCCAAATTCAAGTTTGTCTGCTGTCTGCCTGCAAAAGAGTTCCTGGCAAGAGGCAACCCCATCCCTAGCAAAGTGGCAGCCTCTTCACTTTCCAGCTCCCAGTCTCCCCCAAACCCAGAAACAGCTTTCTCATTTGGCCATGGACACCAAAACAGTGACCCCTGCTGGTGGCCAGATGTTTGTGTCACCAGGTTCTGGCATTCAGGCTCAGGGGAGTCTGGACTGCAAGATGGGCAGTGGGCACAGGCCAGAGGTAATTGAATGACCATCTATACCTCACCAAGTTCGCAAAGTCCCGGAGGGAGACCCCCCCCCCCGTTTTCAGGCTTCTGGGGCGTTCCTGCAGTCCCCTAGACCTGCCGTCTCCAGAGCACTTTCATCTGCTCAAACCAGGCCTTCTGACGCCAACGGGAGTTCTCCCCTCACTATTCCGTTCTGCTGCTTGCGCAGATGGCACGAAGCTGAGTAATTCTGAAAGGCAGAGCCTGCCCGGGGCCATCATGAGTAATTTGGGCACTCGCTCTACTTCTAGCAAAATCCCCTTCCCTTGGGGATGTTACTAGGCAAAGCAATGCGATTCAAGTAATTCACACTCAAGTGTGGCTGACTAACAGCGCTGTTGTGGGGGGTGAAGGAAGGTGGGGAGGATTACTTTTCAGGCATCTTGCTAACCCCCAATAGAGGGGGGAGTCTCAGCCAGTGGAGCAAGCCACGGAACCAGACCCAAAGGAAGAGAAGGGCCAGGGGAGTTCCCTGACCTCGCTGCCTGGGAAAGGGCCTCGACATCCATTATGTATTTAGGGGGTTCATCATGGAAGCATAGCCCCTCGGGGTCAGATGGACCCTACAGGCCAGGTGGACCCTTGGGGTATAGAAATGCGTGCAGACTAACATGCACATTGATATTTGTCACTTTGCAGTCAAGCCCCTAAGGGACATTCATGGAACAGAGCTATGCTGGTGGCTGAGCCCAGAGTGTCATCCGGCTATCTCCTACTGGCGATGCCCAAAGGGGCCTCGGAGGAGCTCCAGAGAGTATGGGGGGACTGGGCTGCTGGACAAAGCCTTAGCAGGGGAGCTGTTCCATCTCAGTCAACTGAGACACGCGGGGAGAAGGCAGGGGAGGTGGGGGCTGGAGCCCAGTCACAAGTGCACGGACAATTGCCCATGGCAGTCTGAGCCTGTGTGTTCTAGTAAAAGGTGACTCATGAGGAGATAATATGAGGCAAATTACAGGGGAAAGGCCACAGAACAAGTCACCCTCTCTGACTAACTGGTCATGGACCTGCAGCCTTGAGGTAGGCCACACTGAGCAGCAAGTCAGGGGTGAAGGGCAGCATTCCTCCAAGCCCAGACGTCCGCTGCCATCCTTCCAGGGCCTGTGGGTGGTTCTGCCTCCTGGCACCCTCCTTGAAAACCCTGCCTCACCTGGCTTTGAGAGGTGGATTTGAATGGAGGACAAGAGGATTGATACCTACTTAGCATGTCGTAAGAGTCAGGCACAGTAAATGAGATATCTCATTTCTTCACAATGGCCTTAGGAGGAAGTTATGAGCATCTCCAATTTACTGTTGAAGAACCAAGATTCAGAGAGGTTAACCTACTCACCAAAGCCACACAGCTAGAAATCGGTATGACCTCAAAACCCATGGAGAAAGGAAGGGAAGTGGAGGGGTTGAGGTTAGAGTGGGTGGTATCAGGGGTAGCACAACTTCCAGGCTCCTCCTACTCACAGCATGCACACACTCTCACCCCCTCCGTGTCCCCCAAAACACACACACACACACACACACACACACACGCACGCGCGCACACACACACACACATGCAAGGTCACAGTGCAGAGCACAGCTAGGCCCACCAGGCCTGAGGCAGGTTTGAACTCCCTCTGGGAGGAGTTGCAGTGGGGGAAGCAGCCCCTTGGAGGTCCTCCCTTCCCTCCCCCCTCTTC